AGTAATGAGTGCATAAGATATGGCCATCACCAATTCTTTATGATAGCCTAAAAAAGTGGTCTCTCAACTTCATTATCTACATAAACCTATCAAGTGAAAACATTTTAAGTATCTGTTCCAGTACCTGTAAGTATTATTTACTTAATGTACTATTACTATAAATTAATACATACTATTACAATAATATATATGTAACCAGAAATTTTAAAAGGAAGAGACTTAAATATACAAGTTTACATATATTTATTTATGTTAGAAGTTCTGGTATTTTCTTCCTGCATTTTCTGGGAGTATGTATAATCACACTTTGGTGACCACTGGTCTGAAAGGCTGAAAGAAGCACATAGAAAATATCTATTCTAAACTGTCATCACATGGTTTAACCACTGATAAACATTTTTCCCCTATTAAAGTCCACCTTTCAACTTCTTGAAGCTCTTGTTAACAAGATAATTCTTTTTTTTTTTTTTTTAAAGATTTTTTATTTATTTTATTTTTTCCCCCCAAAGCCCCAGTAGATAGTTGTATGTCATAGCTGCACATCCTTCTAGTTGCTGTATGTGGGACTCGGCCTCAGGATGGACGGAGAAGTGGTGCCTCGATGCACACCCGGGATCCAAACCCGGGCCACCAGCATCGCAGCACGCGCACTTAACCACCAAGCCACAGGGCCGGCCCTAACAAGATAATTCTTAAAGCTGTCTATCATTCACTAACTTGTGAACTAGAAGGCCAAAACATAACTACATGAGGCAACTACAGTATTTAAAAAAAAAAAAGGTGGCAAGACTTGAGCCTAACCACAGCAAAACTCTGTGCATATTTTTTGTGTGTGTTTGCATATCTTTCTCTAATAGCAGGAAAGAATAATTGTCACATGAGAAAGCTAATGTAAAAGATTCAGAGTAAGATATAGTAAATGTCTTATTGATTTTTATCATCTTATATATCATACGGTTACATTATTTATTTTTATGACCGTATTCAAATGAATGCATTTCAAGGAACCACCATACAGCTTAAAGACTAATTCAAGCATCTTGTCTTTTCCTCTAATAGAATAAAAAATGTAGAGATAGAAAAAAAAAATTGTATATTCCATTCTGTTTCCATTTAACAATCCGAGAAAACAGTTATTAAGCATTCTTTCCCAGTGGAGACATTGCTCTAGGCACTGATCTTACAAAATCTAACAACTAGAAAGGAACTTCAAGATCAGGGCCAAACAGTCAAACATTGCTTGACTCTGCTCAACAGCGCCACCAAGTGGCGGTTAATGTAACTTATGTTGGAACATCTTGGGCAACAGGAACCTATATCAGAAGGCAGCTCACTGCATTTTCTGATACTTCTGATTATTTGAAATAAATAAATTGAACAAAAATATGTCTAACAACAACTTTATCTACTTTATCTAAGAAGTAATGGAAGCGTAAGAGCTTAATTCTTGAAGTTACAAAGGAGAATAAGGTGCAAAATTACACATACCCCAGTTGTAAACTTTAAAGCAACAATTTTAATACAGATGATTATTTTATTACTGAATGTCTTAAGCAAATTTATTTAAAGATAAATATATAGGAAGAGAATTCATTAATATTAGCAGAGATTTGGTATTTTAAAAATATTTTCTAAAAATTAAATACTTTTGACAAATAGTTTTCATTTTTTTAAACTATAACCAATTTAGAAAATTTATATAAACTATTACTATTTTAAAAGCTGAGCTGAAGCTTTCAATAATTCAAGCCCTGAAATCCTCCAGGAAATTAACATAAGATCGCAGGCCTGCACATGTGTATATGCCTGTGCACACAAACACAGCTGGGCTAAAGATAAAGGGCAAAACTGTTAACTGCTGTTTCTTACACAACTGCCCTCTTGCTAAAAATGAATGACTTAAGAAACTAATCCTAACAGAAAAGCTTCTGTTTTACTACAGTACCAATCAACCAACCAGGAGATTGTATTTACAATTAAACAATGTTTGCACAGCGAAGGTAGCTCTTCAGGTACTAGTCCATTTTACAGCATGCGAGAAGCTAGCGTACACTCTGTTACTCATCTTCAGTACAGCTGGTGGCATGAATAATATTTCCTATCAACAAGATGAACAAAACCAGGACTAGACAAAGAAATGCCAATTTCAATTTAACTACTTCACAGTTAATATATCTCAATACTGAATACTTTAGCCAAGAAGCTGAAAAAACTGAAAATATAATTTTAATAACTTGTCAGTATCATACATCATTAATAGGTTATATAATAAGATTTATTTTATTCTAGAAGAGCAAAGAGAAAATTCAATGCTGCCTTATATTTTGCTCTACTGAACAAAGGGTTACTTTAGTGCTAAACAAGCTTCAATGAATTTTCTTAAATAGTCAAGCCATTAAATAAAATGACAATGCATTCACAAGGAGCATTATATTCTGTTTTTATTGAGCTCACTGTGAGCAAGAATAGCTAGCTATGCAAGAAAAGTCAGAGATAATATTAAATCAATTTTGAAAGTTTTGCATATTAAAAAGACAACATTAGTTCATTTAGAAAAAGGGCAATAATCTTTATTGAGCCTACCAGGATTTCTATTTCCTGGTGTACCTCAGCTGCTTGGGTAACTCTGAGCAAGTTACTTACCATCTGGTTCAGATTTCAGCTACACTGATATTTATCTGGAAGATGTTCTACATAACTGAATCTTCTAGATAACTTATGTTTATCCCATTATGCAACAAAACATTTTATTACTTTAACCATTTTTATAGACATTTTTCTAAAAGATTTTAATTATTTCCCTGCTTTCTTAAAAAGAGTTGAAACTGAACCATTTCCTACAGATTTGGTCAACGTGAATACGGACTGTACTGCACAATGGTGCTGCTGTGCTTGATCTTACGTTTTCTCACCTCCGCTTGCTGTCACTTCTTTTTTTTTTTTTAGATTTTATTTATTTATTTTTCCCCCAACGCCCCAGTAGATAGTTGTGTGTCATAGCTGCACATCCTTCCAGTTGCTGTACGTGGGACGCGGCCTCAGCGTGGCCGGAGAAGCGGTGCATCAGTGCGATCCCGGGATCCGAACCCGGGCTGCCAGCAGCGGAGCGCACGCACTTAACCGCCAAGCCACGGGGCCGGCCCTGCTGTCACTTCTTGATGCCAGTGTGCTCTTGACGTTTCTCATGCCTCGGTGAGAACCTAAGAGGGGTCTCTCAAGGCTCTGAAGCATAAAAGACCTGGGCTTTGTGACATCTGGCTACTCTGAGTTCTTTTTCTCCTCCTCTTTGCCACTATGGCTGGTTTTCAAAATGACTGAAGTTAACCATAAAAAATCACAGCCAAGGGGGCCGGCCCGGTGGCTTAGCGGTTAAGTGCGCATGCTCCGCTGCTGGTGGCCCGGGTTCGGATCCCGGGCACGCACCGACGCACCGCTTCTCTGGCCATGTTGAGGCCGCATCCCACATACAGCAACTAGAAGGATGTACAACTATGACATACAACTATCTACTGGGGCTTTGGGGAGAAATAAATAAATAAATAAAAATTATAAAAAAAAAAAAAATCACAGCAAAATAGGCTGTTGACACTGGGAAGGGAGCTCTAATGAGCTCCAGGTGCCTGAACATGGGAGCAGAAAAACATCTTCCCTTAGAGGGCAGCACTGGCTGATTTGTACAATGAGGTCTCCATTCCTTTTCCCCTAGGAACTGGAAGCAACCTGCCCATTTCAGCCTTTTCTATCCTTTATTCGCCATTCTTCTCTCCACAGATGATGGAATAGCATACTCTCCACACAGCCCGCTCATTTGATGCAAAGAGCAGAAACAACAGCAGTACTGTCCAATTATACATGGGGTGCAAGAGATATATGACCATGACAACATTATATGAAAACCATGTGTGCTTACCACGTATTCATATACGACAAATAAATGTAAATGAAACTAGGAATCTGAGTTTATGTCTATAGGGGGTGCTCAGAAGTAGTCAGAATACAAAGATATAATCTTGTCCAGCTATTTAAGAGGCTAACACAACAGGACTTTGGAAAAGTGTTAGAATTCTCAAAAGTATCAGAAATATTTATAAACCACAGAGCACATAAGTTAGAACTAAAGAAAATCTAGATTTTGTTCTCTCTACATATAAAGTGAATGAATCACAAAGTTAATTATTCAATTTTTTCACTTTGTTAATTAAGCATTAGCAATACAGACCAGTTAAAAAAAAGAAATTCTGCCTAAATAGACCGATGACCTCCTTCTCTCGACCAAATGAGCTACTATGACTCAAGTTTTAGAGCAACTATTCTAAGCCATCAAACATTAGTTGCTTACATAATAAATAACACGACTCTCTTGGCTTCAACAGATTCTCAGTGCTCTGACGCAATTTTATCAGGAAAAAGAAAAAAAGTGAGGCGGTCTTTGAGTAACCAAGAAAAATTTATTTTACATTCGATTTTCCATACTAGGATGAGAAGAAACAAAAAAAGACATCTAAAAGATTAGCCCTATTCATCTACTTGACTTGAATAAATTACAAATTAAAACTTTACTTCTGTTAGCTGGCAATGTCAAAGACTACTGATTTATAAAAAACAATAAATAAGGAAGAAAGTAAACAAGGACAAAATATCTCTGCAAAAAAAGAGAAAAAAAGTTACCCTATAAACTTTTTTTTTTTCACATACAACCCAACCAGTTAACATACCTCCAAAATCTTGCAGCTGAGGATATATAACAGAGATTACGGAGTTACAACTATTCAAGACCACAACTCTCTGGTGGCATCTGTAACTCTACACCACTAAGGTAGAACCACTCCAATCGCTAAAGGAGTCATCAAATAAAGGATTTGATCTTGAACCAAATAAGTTATTCTGTTTCTCTATCTGTAAAATGGGGTCAAACTGGAACACTGTGAAAATTTATTATTGGTAAAATGCTTATAATCTTCAGGTAACTGTTATATAAAAATTAAGTACTTGACTCATACCTTGTTTTAATTCCAAGCCGTCAGGTTGCTTGTTCTCTCTCAGGGATGAAGTAGAATCTACACAGATGTCTTGTCTGAGAAATGAAAATAAATAAAAACAATTTTTAAAACTATATTCAATCAAATAATATTTACTGCTAAGGTTCCTAGAATTAAGTGAGACACTTGTAAAGACACACTGAATTTTTCTAAGCCCCCAGGGTACCATTTAGCGCACTCTGGAAACTCAGAAGCATGTATACAAATGTCAGAAGCAGAAGCTATAAACTACTACCAATTTAAGCAGTAAACTTCTTTGTAAAATAACGAGCAAACCTGGAAGGAATACAGAGGTAACTTTTTCTCCCTTCCAACAATCTGCAGGGTAGCTGACAGGAGAAATCATAACTCCCAGAAGAATCCAATAATTTTTCAAGTTCAATTGTTAAATTTAATGGGCACTTTGGCATTCAAATTATTTTACATTCATCTAATTTCATACTTCAAATGCTTTGATGTCTACAGTACGTGGGAATACATATTTTCTATGTAATATACATATGTAATCAAAGTAAATGGATTAAGTGTAAGATCATGCCATAAAGTTTTGATTCACCATGTTCTGCAAGAGAGCTGCAAACTAAACTAATTCTCTTTCTTACAGGGCATTAAACCATCTTAATATTGATGTTACAAATACTTTTCAGCAAAAGTCAAGAAATTAATTAGTTGCAAATATTCAAAATGACTGTTTTCTTTAAAATAAGTACCTATTACTTTCTGAGAATTTTTATACACATGCTAAGATCAACATATTAGAAATATTTAGGAAATTTTTCTACTCACAAAATTTTTTCTATCCACTTAATACTAAATCTCTCAAATAACCAAATGATAAAGATTTGTGATCATTTCTTTGAGAAGTTTACAATATTCTTGCCAGTCAACATATTTGGCATTTATACGTTTGTTTTGTATTAAAACTTTACTAATACAAGCACAAACTCAAGCAGAGACTATAAAATTATTTGTTTGGCATTAATTATGACATCTGAGAGATTTATAATTGAGATATTCCATTTTTAATACTTCTTTCTGTCTAATGTCACTTACTCAGATTTTATTCTTTCACCAGAATGACTGGCAGATCCCAAGGAGGATATCAACAATACTCCTTGGCAATCTAGGGACAGATTAAATGCCAATATACCACATTAAGAGCTTTGCAAGGAATAAAGTTAAAATGTGCTACCTCAAGCCTTACAGTCAAATTAGATTTTACCTACTGGGAACGTTAGTCTAAGTCTCTTCCTTTAGAGAAATGTTTGTTTGCTCTTACACATCCTCGAACGGCACTTAATTCTTCTTCTAAACACATACATCTAAATTCACAAAAAATAATGTAACATCACCATTAAAAGGACCACGGGCATACGTATTACCCTAAAAAGGATACAACATCACTCACGCAATATTACAGCTGAGAATGTATAACCTGTATCATGAGGAATCATCAGACAAACTCAAAATGGAAATGAGTAATGTTCTATTAAAAAGAGGGAGGGGAGTGAAGCGTCAATGTTATAAAAGACAAAGAAAAGCTGTGAAAATATTCCAGGCTAAAGGAGGCTAAAGAGCCACAACAATTAAATGTTGTAACTGACTTAACGGCTGCTGAACTGAAGAAGGAAAAACGTTATGAAGGACATTATTGAGTCAAATGACAAATACTGATGGGAGACTGGATAAAACTATTATATCAATATTAAATTTACTACAGTTGAATTTACTGAAGTTGACATTGTATTCTGGTTACATATAAAAGAATATCGCTATCCTTAGGAAAAGCACAATGTAGTACTTAGGGGTAAAGTGCCATGATGTATATAACTTAGCCTCAAATGTTTCAGAAACAAATACACATGTATATAAACAAAGTGTGCAAATGGGATAAAATGTTAATAATAGGTAAATCTACATAAAAGGTACATGGATGTTTATTGTACTATTCTTATGCTTGTAACATTTTAATGTCTGAAATTATCTCCAAATGAAAATTTTTAATTAATAATGCAGTAAAATGTATTACTTTATTTTCTGTGAAAGCCCCTTGGATCCCCTTCAAATAAAACTGGAGCCCTTTATAACAACTATCGTTACAGAAAAATAAAAACAATTTCTTTAGTGCCTAAAGTGACCTTTTATAATAGTCTGTTTTATTCTAGGTTGGGTTTGATCAGGCTACTAAAGAAAGTCACCAACAGAACTTCAGACAGTAGGTGTAGTACACCACCTTGTGGCTGAAAACTGAGAAGCTAGATGTTTTTACATCAGTATTACCTGAACTCGAAAAAAATTCCAGAAAATAGTTTGGAATTTTAAAACCTATACTAGTTAATTTTTCCAAGATGTAGACTTTGCAACTAAAATTATCATACACAGAGTTCTCTAATACAATTTAAAGATCTTCAACAAACAGCATGAAAAACAAAATATGTACAAAAAAGGAAATGTCTTAAAGTATAAGAAAACTACAACAGTATGCATACGATGTCTTTTTATTTCTAGTTTAGGAAAATAAAAAACTCCTGCCCCCAGATGGTAAGACATACCTCAGAGTTAGGAAAATTTTAAAAATTCCAACTCATACTTGAATGACATTTGAATATTTCTATCGAATACTTTTTTTTTTTTTTTTTGGTGAGGAAGATCAGCCTTGAGCTAACATCTGATGCCAATCCACCTCTCTTTGCTGAGGAAGATTGGCCCTGGGCTAACATCCGTGCCCATCTTCCTCTATTTTATATGGGACGCCGCCACAGCATGGCTTGACAAGCAGTGCATCAGTGCGCACCCGGGATCTGAACCTGTGAACCCCGGGCCGCCAAAGCCAAGTGCGCGAACTTAACAGCTACGCCACCAGGCCAGCCCTCTATCAAACACTTTAAAACTATGTAAGAATTTTATAGCAACTCGAGAGAGAAAAAAGCGGTTTGGTTTGGGTTAAGAATCTTGCAATGATTTTTGTACTCCTTTCTATTAAGGGAAAAAAAAGCCTGTTTTTATTTTTCTAATTCCCTTCTCCCACCTGCAATGCTCCTTCTTAAAACAGCTTAATTTACAACGTTGGCCTTGAATTATAAGAGAGCCCTATACCTACTATCCCTGGGAATTAAGTTCTCAAACCAACATCAGTCCAACTTTCTCAGTCCCCAAATACGGTTCTACTCTTGATCCTTTCTTACAACTCAATGAATTTGTTTTTTAAATCAAAGTAATACAGTGGGGAGATCTGTGGAATTTAATCAAGAACAACCACACATGTGAATTACTGAAGGTTTAAAATATATTTCTGAACAGAAAAAAAAGTCAATTTCTGGTCCAAATGAAAAATACTGGGAAGATACCTCAACAGAAGGAGAAAGAAACAGGACCAAACCAGCTGGATCTTCCCCTTTTGGCAAAAATCAGGCAACAAAGAATCAGACAAACTGGTATAACAAAAGATATAATTCTAGATTCTCTCCACTCTCCTAGGAGTAAAAATAGAGGCTGAACGACACCAGCCTATCTTCCTATGAGCTTTCTACTATGAAAAATAAGAGACAGGCAAAGAAACTAGAGTAGCAAGAACAATTTTGAAAAAGAACAAGAGAGTTGAAGGAGGTACACCATCAGATTTCAAGACTATAAAGCTACAGTAATCAAGACACTGGTATTGGAGAAAGAATAAACATATAGATTAATGGAACAGAATAGAGGCCAGACCCACACATATACGGTCAATTGATTTTCAGCAGATGTGCAAAGGCAATTCATTGGAAAAAGGGCATCTTCTGAACAAATTGTGCTGGTACAATTGGATATCCATATGGATATGATTTTCAATCCATACCCTGCATATATAAATATTAACTCAAAATGAATCACAGACCTAAAATATGTAAACCTATAAAACTTCTAGAAGACAGGAAAAACCGCTGTGACCTTTGGTTTAGCAAAGATTTCACCAAAAGCATGATCCATAAATAAAAATAACTGATAAGTTGGATTTCACCAAAATTTAAAACTCCTGCTCTTCTAGAGATGCTGAGAGAATAAAAGACAAGCAAGCCATAGACTGGGAGAAAATATTTGCAAGCCACATATCTGATAAAGACCTTGTATCCAGAATATATAAAGAACTCTCAAATCACAATAATAAGAAAACAAAGAACTGAATTTAAAAAGTAGGTTAAAAATTAACGGTCACTTGATCAAGGAAGATACACAGATGGCAAACAAACCCAATAAGAGATGTTTAACATCATTAGTTGTTAAGGAAATGCAAATTAAAACCACAATGCGATACCACTACACACATATTAAAACAGCTAAAATAAAAACAACTGACGAATGGAACTCTCACACACAGTGTGAGCAAAGATGCAGACATGACCCAGCAGTCCCACTCCTAGGTATGAGACCAAGTAAAATGAAAAACTCGTTGTGTTCATACAAAAACCTGTAAGTGAATGTTTATAGTGGCTTTATTTGAAATCACCATAAACTGTAAACTACTCAAATGTCCCTTCATTAGCTTTCTACTGCTGCCGTAACAAATTACTACAAACTTGGTAGTTTAAAACAACAGCATAAATGTATTACATTGCAATTCTGTAGGGCAGAAGTCTGGTATGGGTCTCACCAGACTAAAATCAGTGTCCGCAGGCTGTACACCTTTCTGGAGGCTTTAGGGGAGAATCCATTTCCTGTTCATTTGGGTTGTTGGCAGAATTCAGTTCCTTGAGGTTGTACGACCAATGTCTCTGTTTTCTTGCTGGCTGTACGCTGAGAATCGTTCCCAGCTTCTAGTCAAGGCCTTCTCATGTCACATCTCTCCAACTTACTCTTCTGTCTTCCTTTTCCACTTTCAAGAACTCATGTGATTAGATTGGAATAACCTGAACAATCCAGGATAATCACCCCATCTCCAAGTCCTCAACCTTAATCAAATCTGCAAAATCCCTTTTGTCACATAAAGTAACATATTCTCAGGTTCTGGAGATTACAGAGTGTAAACATCTTTGGAGGGCCATTATTCTGCCTACGAGAT